CCTCCTGCACGCCCCCTACTGGGGATGGAGCCCACAACCCAGGCATGTGCCCTTTATTGGAATTGAACCCGGGACCTTTCGGTCCATAGGCAGATGCTCTACCCACTGAGCCAAACCAGCTAGGGCTTAATGGATCTTTAAGTCAACTTGATAAATGCTGTTGTAAGTAGGGAGCGCGATTCAGTTATTTTAGATGAACTCTCCGTAAATTCTATTACTGGCTGAAACCGATGTTAAAAAATTGGAGAGGTCTCTTTTTGATGCTAATGAGCTTGGGATCTTACTTTCCTTCAAAAATAGATTATCTTGCCCTAGACGGTTTGGCTCACTGGATAGAGAGTCGGCCTGCGGACTGAAGGATCACAGGTTCGATTCTGGCCAAGGGCACATGCCTGCGTTGCGGGCTTGATCCCCAATAAGGGGTGTGCAGGAAGCAGCCGATCAATGATTCTCTCTCATCATTGATGTTTCTATCTCTCTATCCCTCTCCCTTCCTCTCTAAAATCAATAAAATATATATATATTTTTTAAAAGAATAGATTATCTTTATTATATAAAGAAAGAAACATTAGCCCGGCCAGCCTGGCTCAGTGGTTGAGCATTGACCTGTAAACCAGGAGGTCATGGTTCGATTCCCAGTCAGGGCACGTGCCTGGGTTATGGGCTTGATCCCCAATAGCGGGCGGGCAGGAGGGAGCCCATCCATGATCCTCTCTCATCATGGACGTTTCTATCTCTCTCTTCCTCTCCCTCTCTGAAATCAATAAAATATATATTTTTAAAAAATAAAGATCCATTAACAAAACTCCTTGGGCTTAGAAGGGTGAGGTGAAAGTCGGTTGAATCTATTGAAGTCCCTTTTAGAGCTTTTATCAAGGAATAATTAGGAAAGCAGACTCAAACCTACCCTAGGTCAACAGCGACCAGAGGGAGGAACAAGGCAATATAATGACATTTAAAATATTTGTGATCGAGTTCAAAATGTCCATCGAATGTCTGACCTTCACCCCCGCCTTCTGGACCTGGGACACCAGACAGTAGGGAATTATTCTTCCTCTTATGTGGACGAGAGAGTTTGATTGGCCATATTCTCATCTCCAAGCCTTTCTGTCTCCATCTTCCTCCCATATAAAAGCTACAAAGTGACTAAGATGGGCCATCCTATCTAATAAAGAGGGAGCCTTTCTGCTCCATCTTCCTCCCATATAAAAGCTACAAAGTGACTAAGATGGGCCATCCTATCTAATAAAGAGGGAATATGCTAATTGACCATCACGCCATTGCAAGATGGCGGCGCCCACAGCCAAAAAGGAGGGAATATGGTAATTGACTGCCATGCCCTCAAACATGGCGGCGCCCACAGCCACAAGATGGCCTGCAGGGGAGGGCAGTTGGGGGTGACCAGGCCGGCAGGAGAGGGCAGTTGGGGGTGATCGGACCAACAGGGGAGGGCAGTTGGGGGTGATTGGGCTGGTAGGAGAAGGCAGTTGGGGGCGATCAGGCCAGCAGGGGAGGGCAGTTAGGGGGCGATCAGGCTGGCAGAGGAGGGCAGTTGGGGGCGATCGGGCCGGCAGGAGAAGGCAGTTGGGGGCGATCAGGCCAGCAGGGGAGCAGTTAGGGGGTGATCAGGCTGGCAGGCAGAAGCATTTAGGGGCAATCAGGCA